AATGCAAATATAGGGGTATTTTGGGGGGTCCCATGGCAATGCAGACAACTCAGAAAAGAAGAAATAATACGACCACCCCGAGCGCCCCCCTCCCTCCCGATGTGGAAAAATATAAATCCCGATCTTTTATGCAACAACAACAATAATTTAGTTAGAATACATCCTCTGCGATTATTTTTTTCGTGTGTGCAAATAAATTAAAAAGAAAAATGAAACAAACAAGGGGGGGGGCAAAAGGGTGAAGCGAAAGGGATTATCCCGGATTATTCCTTAAAAAAAGAAACAACAACAACAACGACAACAACAGAAGAAGGAAGACGACACATCCATAGGGTTGTTAAAATTCAATAGGGCTTCAAAGGTACGTTGTCGTTTTGCAAGGCCTTTGAGGTTGGCTCCCACAGCAGTTCAAAGTGGAGTCAAACTGCATTAGTTCGACAGTGTAGATGCACCCCGACAGTAAGGTTCCAATGGAGGGGCGGAACAGGAGGCATACTGTATAGACTGCTGACAAATAGGATTGAATTACCCATCGGGTCGACTGACAAATGGAGTTGAATTACCCATTGAGTCGACTGATGCATGGGGTTGAGTGACACATGGAGTTGACTGACGCATGGGGATGAATTACCCATTGGGTCGACTGACACATGGGGTTGACTGACATATGGAGTGGACTGATGCAAGGGGTTGACTGACATATGGAGTCGACTGACGCATGGGTTGAATTGCCCCTTGGGTCGACTGACGCATTGGGTTGACTGCCATATAGAGTCGACTGACGCATGGGGATAATTATCCATTGGTGGGTCGACTGACACATGGGGTTGACTGACATATGAAGTCAACTGACATGGGATTGAATTACCCATTGGGTCGACTGACGCATGGGGTTGAAGCACCTGTTGGGCTGACTGACAGCTGATTGACATATGGAGTTGACTGACACATGGGATTGAATTACCTATTGGATCAACTGACACATGGGGTTGAATTACCTGTTGGGTTGACTGACAATGGACTGACATATGGAGTCAACTGGTATGGGATTGAATTACCCATTGGGTCGACTGACACATGGGATTGAATTACCCATTGAATCGACTAATGCATGGGGTTGAAGCACCTGTTGGGTTGACTGACATATGGAGTCGACTGACACATGGGATTGAATTACCCATTGAATCGACTAATGCATGGGGTTGAAGCACCTGTTGGGTTGACTGACATATGGAGTCGACTGACACATGGGATTGAATTACCCATTGAATCGACTAATGCATGGGGTTGAAGCACCTGTTGGGTTGACTGACATATGGAGTCGACTGACACATGGGATTGAATTACCCATTGAATCGACTGATGCATGGGGTTGAAGCACCTGTTGGGTTGACTGACATATGGAGTCGACTGACACATGGGATTGAATTACCCATTGAATCGACTGATGCATGGGGTTGAAGCACCTGTTGGGTTGACTGACATATGGAGTCGACTGACACATGGGATTGAATTACCCATTGAATCGACTAATGCATGGGGTTGAAGCACCTGTTGGGTTGACTGACATATGGAGTCGACTGACACATGGGATTGAATTACCCATTGAATCGACTAATGCATGGGGTTGAAGCACCTGTTGGGTTGACTGACATATGGAGTCGACTGACACATGGGATTGAATTACCCATTGAATCGACTAATGCATGGGGTTGAAGCACCTGTTGGGTTGACTGACATATGGAGTCGACTGACACATGGGATTGAATTACCCATTGAATCGACTGATGCATGGGGTTGAAGCACCTGTTGGGTTGACTGACATATGGAGTCGACTGACACATGGGATTGAATTACCCATTGAATCGACTAATGCATGGGGTTGAAGCACCTGTTGGGTTGACTGACATATGGAGTCGACTGACACATGGGATTGAATTACCCATTGAATCGACTAATGCATGGGGTTGAAGCACCTGTTGGGCTGACTGACATAT